GAACGGAAAACGTCCTCGTGGATTGCTCCTTTTCTTCGTACAATCATGGTCACTACAAGATCTCACAAGAACCAACAACAGGTAATGTGTGTCCAGTGATACCATTTGTGGTGACAGTGGACGACTGGAGGTTAGCTTCTGGAACAAACCGTTTAAAATCATGAACAAAAATTAGAGATTCCACACTACCAGTATCCAAAATGAAATGAAATGAGTTGCCAGTAGAACTAAATAGTTGCTTACGAATGTGACCGGAATGGGTAGTACTTACTGAAGATAAAGAAGAAACATTTTTGTCTATGTCACTTACTTCTGAATCCTTGGATTGAATTAGACGACAAGTTTTGGTACTGCCACACAGACTGAATATGGCCAGTTTTGCCATACTTGTGACATAAAGCATAACGAAATCGACATGTGAATCTGGAATGACGTTTGCCACAGGATGCACAATTGCCGTAGGATTTATCCGAATATATCACATTGTGTGAGCTAGATTGTGTAACTGGTTTGAAACATCCGGCTGTAGCATGAAATTTCGTGGATTTATTTTTGAGTGAATTGAACATGGCTGTAGATACGATGGTCGACGGCATAGATGAAGTAGCGGCGCGAAGGTCCTGATATTGTTCACAATGGGCCTGCAAATCTTTGAACGTCGGATTGGATAGCTTTAGAAGTTCATTTTGATAAACAGTATTGTTAATACCAGCGATCAGCCGGTCTCTCAACTGCATGTCCAGTAAGTTTCCAAAATCACACTTTACAGCTGAAGTAATTTGGTTAGCTTTACACGGACTTGATAAAATGAACAAAATGGCTACATTTGTGGGGAGCGGTTGACGATTGACAATAATAAGTCACGCACACGTGCACATTGTCTGGTTGTAAGTGAATCGTGATCACATCAGAACAAATAAGGTGGACCTGCGATATCCCCTCGTGCTGTTCTAATATAAAATAAACTTCAGTTTGTAGTACTGAAAGCGTTTGTTGGACGTACACATTCTTTTTTCACTGCCTAGAACTGACGCAAAAGAACAACAATGTAGGTATTACGATTGAGTTGCCAAGTACGTGTTCATTGTTATGGTATTGATGACCACCTCTGTCGATATTATATAGATGTCGGAGTAAGAAGAACTCTGATTCATATTTCGTATTGTTAATTCTTGCAAACTCAATGCGATCATTGATGGAGATTTTTTAAAAACCAGGTTTTAACTTAATAACACGATACTTGATTGATTGCGCTACTAAACAAAAGATTAATAGATTCCACTATTCAGGTCCCAGTATCATCTCCGTCTATCTGCAGGGAAAGAACCATCTAGAGCATAACACCCTTTTTCGCAAGTTCCCCGATCTCCTCTCACAAGAACGTAGTAAAACACAATTGAAAAAAAAGAAGCTGAGCTGTACAGA